AAGTTAAGTGACTCTAATAAGCATCTGTTATTGCTAACACGTTTATGGGCCAGCTGGGCAGCTCTGGTCTCAGCTGAGCTCATGTGTGCATCTGTGGTCAGTTGTGGGTTGGGTAAGCAACTCTGTTGTTCAAGGTTGGACTTTCACAAGTATTTGTGGGATGACTAGCTGTAGGCTGGTCTAGGTCGGCCTCAGCTGGAACAATTGGTTGCTTCTTGTGATCCTTCACCCTCCAGGAGGCTATCCCAGGCTTGTTCTCATGGCATAGCAGGAGTCCGAGAGAGGAAGCAAAAGTGGGCAAAGCCTCTTGAGGCCTGGCCTTCAAGATGGAACGCGTTGTTCCCTTCACTGCATTCTCTTGGCCAATACAAGTCACAAGACCAGCCTAGAGGCAAGGGCTGGGGAAAGAAATTCCACCTTCTGATATGACAAGCTGCAAGTTCACAGAACAAAGAGCATGGGTATGGGGAGAGTTATAGAATTGAAGCAATCTTTGCAAGCATCCTACTGTGGCCATTAATGTGATATATCATTGAGAAGGGAGGCCTAGCATATTAACACACCTATTATACATTTGCATGGGTTAGTTAGTTGTCTCCTTGCAGCATGTTAATCAGGCAAGGGATATGATAATAAATTGTCACAATTGTCTTTGTATTCCCAGCACTTTCAGCATTGCATCAAGCACACTATAGGTATTCCACATACAAAAAAATAGTAATGATAAAAGAAGTGATAGAGGAAAAATTACTGTTCTAGAAATCAGGGAATTAGCTGAAGCACAGTTCGATTATATCAAATTACCTGTGCAACTTTGGAAGGGAGTGATTAAGCCTCCCTAGGATTTGGAGAGACAGAATTACACTGGGCTTTCTCTACATTCTCTCTTTCTTTCTTTAATTTTAAAATAGTAAGGTCATAAGAACTCTAGAAATTATGTATAGCCAACACATTCATTACACACACACACACACACACACACACGGCATAACTTCGTATAGCATACATTATACGAAGTTATACACACACACACACACACACACACATATATATATATATATATATATAGAGAGAGAGAGAGAGAGAGAGAGAGAGAGAGAGGCTTATAAGCACAGACTGTTGATGTCCTAGACTAGAACTCAGGGCTCACAACTCCCAGCCCAGCCCCATGGATTACTCCAGCACATCACTCCTCAGAGTGTATTCCACAGACCAGTAGCATCAGTATCTCCTGAGAGCTTAAAGGAAATGCAGAATCTCAGAACTTATCCCAGGCATACTGAATCAGAATCTGGATTTTTAACAAGACCCCAGATAATTCATACATGTATTAAAGGTAGAGAAGCTCTGGGCTTCCTTATAAATGCATGAGGGCTAAAAAAATAAAATAACTTGTTTAGTTAGGGAAATGCTCCTTCGGATATCTTAATACTGAAGCCATTTTTTCCTAAACACTTCTGACTAATTCATTTAGCTAATATCTCCTGAGTACTTACTCTCTCTGAGGTGTTGTGGAAACGTAAAGAGCAGGTCCTTGCCCTCCTGGAGCTAACACTCCACAAGGAAGCCAAAGCCCCTTTCTCTTTCCCACATCCTCCTTTCTCCCTCTGTGCCCTTTGTTTGCCCTTACTTTCCCAGCTTCCTCCCACTCCCCATCTTAATGATTCTGTGACTAGGATCTCATTTCTGAAGTTGTTGGTTTAAAAGCAAAGTATTTCATTCATTTGAAATTCCAATTTTAGAAAAGTGATTTAAAATGTTGGAAAAATTTGATTTGGCTCACTTCCAAGCAGCTTACATTATAATATCAGCATGACCCTAAAACTGTGTATAAAAGAAGACTAAAGCACTCGGAACACTACAGGGGGAATTCTATATGAATACAGCACAGGTTAGTCATACACTTTTGATTTAATTTTTTCCTAATGCAGCCTTTTCTCTAGGAAGAAGGGGGAATTCTATATGAATACAGCACAGGTTAGTCATACACTTTTGATTTAATTTTTTCCTAATGCAGCCTTTTCTCTAGGAAAGGTTGGGAACTTAAAGGTTGGGAAACTTAAAGGTTGGGAAACTGAGATACTGGAACAAAAATGCAATGAGATTGTATTTTTTCTCAAATATTTACAGCTAGTACACCTACATATACTCTTTAATAAAACATTTATTTTTTTATCAAGGAGAAAAGGAAAAATTTTCAATACCAACAGATTAATTTCATTCAAGAACTCAGCATAAAATGGAGACCATTAAACAAAAATCCACTAAATGAACTATTTTCCGGTGAGTAATCTGCAGGATGGAGTCATTACACTAAGCAATTGGACCACAGGTAATGGTTATGTGATGCTACTCGATCCCTCTGAGGCTTATATGCCTGGCCTTTAAGTTCTAGCGTTTGAAAGTATCCGCCTTTCTTTTTCACACTCTCTCACCGTCCTGAAAAGCTCTGAGCTCTTTTCATTCTTCTTTCCCCTTGTCTTCTCCCTCTTCAAAGATATTCCATGATGATTCTGCTTTTCAAAATCAAGGCTGCTTGAACTTTAGCTAAGAGTAATGAAATTTCACAATGGCAACGACGTCCTCTTTCTGCTCTCTTGGTGTAGTCAGAAGCAACAGCCCAGCATGAACAATAGGACAACTTCTCAGTTCTGAGGGATTGGCTGTTGCCGAACAGCAGTGCATAGAAACAACCCTTGGCAATCCCATGGGTGACATTTCTCATTCCTTATCACTCGTGCTGCACACAGCCAGAACTTGATAAGATACCCAGAAAGAAGATAATGGCTGCTATCAAGCTGTCTAGGTGGAAATAATAATAATCTGTTTACGGAAGAGCAGCTGTCCTATTGTTTTCAATTTCATGAAATCCCAGAGTCAGATTCCTTCTCCCATGCCAGCCCCATCCCCAATCTTGACGCCAGTCCAATCACTTTCGGGCTTTAATGATGGGCTTTTTTTTTTCTTCATGACTTTTCGATGCAATAGACAAGGATGCATGTAAATATCCCATAGCGATATCCAGTCATAGGCTGTATTTAGAGACTAGAGAAGAGGCATTTTAGAGGAAGATGTGTGCCTGGGAGGACTTGTAATGAATATAGGAAAGCCCAGTACACTTTTTAAAATTATGCACAAACCCAGAATTACTGCAAATAAGTAGTTCAGTAAACATTCCAGTTTCAAATCTTAACCCCCAGGTTTTAAAGGTCTCAATTACTCAAAGAGAAACCCCAAAGAATTGTCTTATGTGGTTGCCAGCAATTCAGGTTGCATCTGTGTTTGCTGCTTTTCATTTGTCCCGAACAGAAGCAGCCTGGCAGTAACGTCATCGTTTTCCTTTCCTTTCAGCCAGATTTGCTCTCCTGGCTGGAAAAAGGTCTCCCTTGACTGAATATGTGATCACTTTATTTACCAGCCTTCAGATAGAGCATTCCCTTCATGACTGTCATTTTCACACAGGCTCTTCTGGGGATGCTATGTTCCTTTTTTGAATCTGTCCACCCATGTCTGGGCAAAGAACTAAGCAGTCGCGGCCTTCAGGGTGAAACAAACAATTGAAGAGAACCAAATATATGAGTTCCTTTTTCCCTCCAGGCCATACATGGTCAAAACTTGTATTTTCATTTCCAGGGAGGGAGGATACCTTCATCCCTGAAACAGTTATCCCAGAAGGGACCCACCATTGTAGTGAGCAGAGGGCCAAAGGAGAGCAAAGACATGGGCATGGTGAGTGGAGAAAGAACTAGGAAGAATTTCACACTGACTAGTTCTTCCATTCTATATGATACAATTACTCTCTAAGCCAGATGTCTCTTGGTCTCTGAATATATCCAGGTCTCTTCCTACACAGCGAAGACACACCCACCTGAGATCCCCACCCCTCCTGTCTCTCTGCTGAGTGAGTGTCCCACTCCCCGGAGGCATAGCTCAAGCACTACCTTCTCTGTGGGGCCTTCCTCTGCCCTTTCCCACCTTCTCCCACCCACACTACCCCCAACAGGATTAGTTAATCATGGCATTTTGTACATAGCTGTACAAAACCCCTTTTCATTCTTTATCACATGCCTTTCTCATCAACCAGAATGTGAATTCCAAGAATGTAGGTCAATGTCTTTACATATTTTTATTCACCTTTGGGAAGGCAATTTAACAAAGAAGATAAGGGAATGAGTTTTGCATCAGACTGATCGAATGTGAATCCTAGCTCTGACACTAACTAGCTGTATGCCTGGGACTCAATTTACTCATATGTAAAATGGGGCTATTTCATAAATATTTTTTAAAGGATAAAGTGTATTAAAATATGTGTATATTAGGTAAAATGTTTAGCATAATGCTGACATGCCTTAAGCTCTGGATAAATGGTAACTATTATGATTATAATAAACTTGGTATCTCTTGCCACCCCACGGTAGACTATCAGTAAATATATATCGAATTGCAAAGTTGAAAGAACAAATAAAATACACTGACACACACACACATATACAGCATATAAAAGCATACTGTATATACATACACGTGACAATATTTCCAATATATATACACATACTATAAT